TCATCCTCAACATTTTCTTCAACCTCCTTCTGAGCATTATCAATATAAGTTGCAATTGAATTAGGTACTTGAGTAGCAGTGAACGACCTTTGCCGAACAAATAGAGTTGTACAAACTCAAATTTTGTTTGCATGTTTGTGGTGCTAATAAAACTCTTCATATGCTTCGATTCTCAAGGCTTCAATGTGTTTTCCTTGTCAAATGTAATATTCTTACTAATAAAAATTGTCTTATCTACTTAACATATGTTCAAAGCCCTTAATTCCACGCCTGGAGCCAAAGAATATTGTGTTCTTCGCTCATGAATTCAATTCAGTTTGTTTGTGGTAATAAGTTAGACAACCAAATACTCACATGTGATTGTGATCTCTAGCAGAATGCCCCAACCACATCTCTTTTGTAGTCTTCTTTCTAATAACAATTGAAGGCAGATGATTCAACAAGTGAGAAGCATAATATTTAGCCTCGAATCTATAAAATTTATTTAGCTCATCATTGGACAACATACACCAAACTTTCTCCACCAAAGTTTGATTCGTTCTCTCTGCCACCATGTTCTACGATGGTGTCGCCAAGTAGGAAAGTGTTCTATCCTAGCTCATCAACACTCTTGCAAGATCACATTCGATGTATATTTGCTCTCGTTGTCTGATCAGATACACCAATCATTTTACCCCTCTGAGTCCTAATCTACTTCTTTTAAGTCATGAAAATCTTCATCAATTCACTCTTGTGTTTCATAATGGACAACATAATATATGTGGAGTAATCATCAATAAAAGAGAAAATATTCTTGTCAACCAAATGATAACATCTTCATCGAGCCCTAAATCTTTTTGTGAACACTCAAAATACCCTCTGTACTGTGGATGATAGTACCAAAAGATACACGTGTCTTCTTTTCAACCACATAACATTCATAGAAATTGAGTTTCGAGGTTCTCATTTCTTTGATCAATCCTTACTTCACCTAATCCTGAAATGAAAACACTCAAGCATGAGATAGTGACATATGTCATAATATAGCGGTGTTAGAATAATCATTAGCAATAGTAGCAGTTACAGTCATTGCACTACCCTAAATACAATAAAGGTTGTGATAATGAAATTCCTTCAGAAAATTCGGAGATCCACGATATATTCGCATAATGCTTGCCACATTAACTATCTTGTAACCCTTTGCCTCTAAGATTTCAACTGACAAAAAATTATTTCTAAAATATGAAACATGTTTAACATCAGACAGCTACCTCACAATATCATCATGCATCATGATAAAGATGCTTCCTACACTAATAGTATGGAAAACTTGATCTTTTCTTATAATCACGACACTGCTATTAAACTTTTTGTATGTGTAGAACCACTCTTGATGAGGACAAATATGGTAGGTGAAACTTGAGTTCAGAACGAACACAAATCATCTGTACAAAAATTATGATAAATTGCATATAAAGATTTATCTAAATCTGCCTCATCATATTTCTCCACAATAAAGTTAGATTTTGCCTTAGAAGAAATCTCTCTCTTCTCCTTAAACTTCAAACAATCTTTCTTCTAATGACTAGTCTATAAACCGAAAGCACACTAATTTTTTTAAGACTGCTCCCACAATACTTGTCTCACTTTTGATAAGTATCACATCTATCGCCATTTTATGCCCATTTCTTCTCCTCAGATCTAATATGTGGGAGTGTAAGTGTCTCAATTGGCTCTATCTTTGTAGAACCATCGCTCCTTCGATGAAACTGATGATTCAATGATGTCAAAGTTACCTCTCCATAATTTAAAGCATCATTCTCATGATTGAGTGTCATTATAAATTTTTATACTCATTGAAGAGTAAATTCAATAAGAAGTGTCTTATCTTTATAGTTAACCTCTTTGTTCATATCTAACATATATGTTAAAAGCTTTATAAAATTATTTAAGTGTTCATAACTAGTAACCTCAGGATGTCTCATCTAAAACATGCAGAGTCGATGCTTCATATGAAGACAATTCTCCACTCTTTGCAGGGTATTTGTTCTACAACATTTTCCATAATTTTTCTATAGATGTCGATATCATCACTCCATATTTGATCTCTTGAGATAAGAAAATTTTGGAAAAAGTCACCCTTAAGATCATCTTCAACCAATCTTTTTCTAGCATCTTTTCATAATGTTCATCGATATCGAGAAATTCTTCTAGATTCAGATAGCACAACCCATTTATTATCTTGCATCATTGCATGCCAAAGTTTAATTTTGTATCAAATTTTGTCGTATAGATCTTGACATGATGCATATCCACCTAATGAATTAACATTTTTGTTATTGTCATTGTAGTTATTGAGGTACCTGATAATATTTTATTATCCATCAATCCACAGGACCTCATAACCTAACTTGTTCCAATCTCTTTGCATTGTGTTTGTAATTTTTCCAGAATTGCAATAACTTATTACCCAAATCCTACCAATCCAGATCTGATACCAAATTGTTATGCAAAGCAACTTAAAAAAAAAAGATAAAATCACACAACAAGAAAACAATCAAGCATTGTGTGATTTATATGGTTTGGTGAAAATCCTCCTACATCAACGAGAAGGGATTATTCCACTTTGAATAGGAAAGAAAAAATAGTTGAAATAGGGTTCAAACACCACACACATAAACCAGCTCTAATTCTTTCTATAAATAAGAGGGGATTTGAGCATACTAATTATAAATATTTCTGATATAAAAAGTATCATGTAATTAGATATCCTCTAATTATGTCATGTAATATCCATCTTTCTAATATAGAAAAGATTATGTAATTAGATCTTTTCTAATTAAGTTACATAATATTAATCTTCTTAAGATATACACTTTATAAGTAGATATTGAACTCAAAGTAAGCAGTTGTGATAGAAAATGATCCTGTGAGTAAGAGTCGAGTCTAATAAGACAGCCTTGAGAAGAAAATACATTTCCTTGAGACATTTATGGGGTTTTTCTTGAATTTTCTATCAATTTTTTTGTTTAAAATTTATACACTTATGTTTGGTTGATTTAAACTTTTTTTTGTGAAGAAACTATTGACAAAGTTTTAGAAAAATTCTAACCACAAAAAGATGACATATTTGAAATTTTGTTTGTCAATATTTTTTGTTGTTGCGTTATTTATTATTTTTTCATTTTCAGTAACCAAACGCTAAATATCATTTATTACCTACCTCCGTGTCATAACATAAAAAAAAAAAAATACATCATACGAGCATTCAGTTTCTATTATTTTTCTCTCATAAGTTCAAACTCCAACTAGCCTACAATTACGCCATAAGACTCCACCCATGTACACTTCCAAAAATCAAAGCAATTGACTACCTTTATACAATGAAGATCATCCCATTAAGTTCAAACTCCAACTAGCCTACATCAACGCATGAGACTATGTTCTGTATGTCAAATTTTATATGGAGTGAATCATTAACTCTGATGACGAAAAAGTTTGTATTATTTAATATACCAATTTAGGTGTATGTGTGTGATTCGAAAGTATGTTAAAATTAGTTACACTTAAAGGGCACAACCACAATTCATGGAGCACTAATCAAACTCATGGTGAGCTTGTCAAATCTGTAGCGCTCAAATCCCATTCCTAACTCATAAACTGATGATCTCAATGAGAACTCAGGTTACATGATCACTTGAATTTTAGCTTAACATATTTGAAATTCTCAAAGCTTCTCACCCCCTCACTTCTATGTTTTAAGATAATGTATAAACATAAAAAGCTTTCAAATCCCATGAAAATAAAGGAACAATATGAAATCTTAGTAATCTCAACTACTATGGCTTTTGCATGTGAAAAACTTTATATCAACATAAAAATAATACCACAAAACACATAGTAACATGCATGTATCATAAAAATAATAACACAAAACACATAGGAACATGCATTTATCATATCCCTCTGAATACAAACAAACGAACATGCATGGTGAGAACTTCGGATAATTCATGCCAGAAAAAACAAAAGAAAGACTCATATTCCCCCTCTATTAACCACTGAAAAAATAAGAAAATCTCAAATCATAGAACAGATTCTACCAGTCAAACGACTTCAATTTGCTTATTTTCATACAGATTAAAGTATCAATCATGAATGTATAATAATAGCGACCCAAGCTATTGAATAATTTACACATTTCTCTCCTTCCTCAATATTTTAGTCCAAGAATTTTGTGTCTTTGCTGCATCCGATGTATGCGCTGGTACTCGTAACACCTCACCTGCGTTCGAGAGATCAGAAGCCCCCCTCATCGTTTCACGTGACAAATATATACCACCAACCCAGCCTACCTATCCCTGCAATTATTTCATTTTACATGTCCTTTCCCGCAATTATCCTGGTTAGAACTCATTAGAAAAAAAAAATATTACAGAATTTCCCAACTCACGGAGCTCCCACGCGCGCGAATCCATTGGCACGTGCGACCCGCATAACGACGAGTCCGGTGACCGCACCTACCCATGTGCGGCTCTGAAACCAGAGCGTACTGCTCCTCCCTTCCCCCGATTTAAAGCTGACTCGTCACCTTCGCCCGCCCACGGGCCCACCTTACCCTGCTCGCGTCCAATCCAAATACCCAATGAGATTCCAATCACCGATACGGTGAACTCACCGCATCACAAACACGTAGCTTCCTTCCACCCTGGCTGCATGGAAAGGGGGGGCGGAGAGCTTATCTCTTCCATTTCTCTGTCATAATTTCCTTTTTAAATGCCACTTACAGAACTAATCCACTGTGTCGCTGTCATGCCTGATGTAGCGTAGCTACTACTTTATAGCTAATTGATTTGAGATAAGCTCCCTCTAATTATAAGAGAAATAATTAAGAATATCGAGATTGGCTACAGCAACGGCTACAGCACGTAGCTGCTGCTGCAGGCCTCAATAACAACACCACTCGAGCCGCAGCAACAAGACGACACAGTTAGGTCTGGCCCACTCCATGGCTTAATCATGCTTAGGGTGGAGGAATTTATCAGTAGAGATGGAGAGCAAGCTGAAGGCTTGGCATTGACCTTGACTATATTGGGAGAGTGGAAGCAGAGGGAGGAAGAGAGAGAATTGCGAGGTTTTCAGGTGCAGACGGGAATGCGACCTATTTGAAGGGATCCAGATCTAGTTGCAGTTTCCCACTCTCTGCTTCTCCGGCGGAAGAAGCATAGAGAAAAGAGAGACAGAGAGAGAGAGGCGATGCAGAAGGAAGAAAGGGAAGTTTTGCGCTGCGCTGCGCCGTTTCAGAGGAGAAGGAAATAGAGTATAGGTGCAGCGACTTACTTGAACAAGGCAACTCCTTTTTTCTTCTTCTTTTCTTTTCGTCTCCCCTGCCTTTCCTCCTTTCTCGCTTTCTCCTTTTTTTTTTTTTAATCACACCGGTAACTCACATGCACTCCCTTTCTCTTCCTTTTTCCTCCTTTCTCGCTTTCTCCTCTTTTTTTTTTTTAATCACACCGGTAACTCACATGCACTCCCTTTCTCTTCCTTCTTCAGATAACAGCAACAAGAAGAAAGGCAAGAACTTTGTGAGCTGCTCTTCTGCTATGGATGCGTACGAGGCGACGAAAATCGTATTTTCGAGGATACAGAGTATAGATCCGGAGAACGCAGCAAAGATCATGGGGCTTCTGTTGATCCAAGACCATGGGGAGAAGGAGTTGATCCGCTTGGCTTTCGGCCCTGAATCGCTTCTTCAATCTGTAGTCCAGAACGCCCGCAAAGATCTTGGGTTTCTTCCCCCTTCATCTTCCTGCGCAGCCTCGCCGCCACTTCCGGCGCCGCCTGCGCCGACGGCGAACCCTTTCGTCCTCCCTGGACAGAACTCTGCTTCACGCCTCCTTGTTCGCCCTCCGCCACTCGTCGTCTCATCGCCTTCCTCATGGGCCTCATCATCCCCCTTCTCCCGCTCCGGCGACGAAATCCATTCCGGAGGTGACGAGCTTATTGACGAAATCCACCTCCACGACCAGCTTTCATTCTTGAACGACCCAGTAGCGTCCGGTGGTGACGAGCTCTTTTCTTACGGGATGGGTTGGGGTTCACCGGTGTCGAACGGTGGAAACCAGCGCCGAAGCTGCTCTATCTCGGACATCTGCTTTGGTTCTGACCCAACCGGGCTAGGCTGGAAGCCATGCCTCTACTTTGCCCGAGGGTACTGCAAAAACGGAAGCAGCTGTCGCTTTCTTCACGGCCTTGCTGACGAGGCAAAGATGGATGCTGCGTTAGAGCAGGAATTCTTGTTGCGTTCGAAGAGCCAGCGGTTCTTGGCATCTGCTGCGAGCGCGTTCCCTTACTCTCCGACTGGGACTTCTCTACCGCAGTCTCCGTCGGGGATGGGTAAATGCATGAGCTTTCTCTTGCAGCAGCATCAGCAGAACGAGAGCCAAAGGTTGTTTCTTTGCTTAATTAACAAACTTTTTGAGTTCATGCCTTGAATTAGAGCTCAAAGTCGAGATTTTGACAACTTTCAGGGCGGCCGTGGCTGCAGCAGCAGCGGCAGCGCTAATGCTCGGAGGAGATGATCCGCATAAATTCATGGGACGGCCAAGGATGGAAAGAAGTGATTTTTCCGGCATGATGAATCCTAGTTCAAGGCAGATCTACTTGACTTTCCCTGCGGACAGTACTTTCCGGGAGGAAGATGTCTCAAACTACTTCAGGTTGATTTTTGCTCCTTAAAAGTGTATGCTGATCCGTTTATTTATTCATCTTTTCTCGGATTTAAAAACTTAATCTCGGTTTTGTGGCAGCATCTACGGTCCAGTGCAGGACGTGCGCATCCCATACCAGCAGAAGAGAATGTTTGGGTTCGTCACCTTCGTTTACCCTGAGACTGTGAAGCTGATCCTCGCCAAAGGTAATCCTCACTTCGTCTGTGACGCCCGAGTGCTCGTCAAGCCGTATAAGGAGAAAGGAAAAGTCCCCGACAAGTACAGGCACACACTCTCTCCATCTTAATCTCTTTCCATCCCCATTACCTAAGAAATTCTAAAGTTAATGATTTGTGACTTGCAATCCTCTTGTTCCTTCGTCCTCTTGATCAGGAAACAAGTTGATAGGGGGGATTTCTCCGGTTGTAACACTCCATCTAGTCTAGATTCCAGAGATCAATTTGACCTGCAGCAGCTTGGTTAGCATAAATATCTCAACTTTGCTTCCAGGAACTTCACAATCTGCCTCATTTGAATTTAGTTTCTATAAATTCTATTTATGCTCAATTTCAGGTTCGAGAATGCTTTATGCTGGGAACAACCAGGATTCTATGCTTAGAAGAAAATTAGAGGAACAACAGGAGCTTCAACAGGCCATCGAGTTACAGCAGCGTCGGTTCATGGGACTTCAGCTTCTTGACCTCAAGCGGAATTCGACCATCTCCACTTCAGCAGTTGCTGTTTCTCCTCCATCTCCATTTCCGCTTACAAATGTTCTTACAACAGCCCCTTCCGAAGGAGGTAACAAAACTCTCTATTTGGAGTTGAAGTGGCGCTGTCACTTAATGAGGCTATGATAAAACATGATTTAATGTGGGTTCTGTTTTTACTGTGAATAGATAAGAGCCTGAGGCCTGGTTCTTGCACTGCTATTGCCGTTTCTCGTTCAGACCAGGATGATACAGTGACAAAGGCGAGTCCCAAAGAAGATGGCGACTTCCAAGAAAGGTAATCCTTGCTTCCATACTAACCCACATCGCCGTCTTACTTTTATCTCATGCATTAAATGCTCCGGAGAAGTAAAGATGGTGATGCTCCGGAAAATTGGTTGGTTGTGGTTGTTGAGATTCAGACTGATGGCAGTGATCACGTGTGATTTGGAGCAAAAAATTTAAATTTTACTAGCAATGCCATGCTCCTAGGATTACTAGTTCAGCTTCAAGCTTTCTGCTTTTGCTCACTTGTTTCTTTCTTTCCATGATTGATCACGAGATTATTAAACCCCTCATTAATAATGCAGCTGCGTGGAGCACAATCTCCCCGACAGCCCATTCGCTTCGCCTAAGAAGTCAGCTTTTGCTGCGAATGACTCCTCCACGATCTCAGAGGCTGAACCTGCCGCAGCGGCCTCTGCTTCTTCTGCTCTCCTTGCTTCCACTCTGCGGCCTGCTACTTCTACTCTTGAGAGCATGGCTCCCTTTAAATCTTGCTTCTTTCAAATGCCGAGGTTGGATTCCGTTTCCTTCTTAATTTATAAACAGCCGGCCGATTCAAAATCCCAGTTTTTTAAAGGAAATTTTCTCGCTTTCAGATTCTCATCTGGTCCGGGAGCTGTTGGTCTGTGAAGCGGGAGAGGACACAGGGACAGCTGCCACGCACAACATAAATCAAGGTAAGAACCTTTGCAGTCTCTTTCAATGGAGATCTCATGATGTCTTCTCTGACATTATGTCCTTCGCCATTTCTTCGTTTCAGGAAAGAAGAACACGATAGGAAGTAGTTGGCAAGTTGCAGAATCGTCCAAGATTATAGTTCTAGTGTTTGTTTTTTAATCTTTCTTTTAAAAGCTTAACTTTTATAGCATTTACTTCGGAGTGAGATAAGAGCCATGATAGATAGTAGCATGGTTCTTCTCTTCCCCTCAATGAAAATTGGAGAGAGGATGGAAAGATCCGAACGTTTTCGTTTAGTTTAAGCCAGCAAGCCAGAGATGAGTCGATCATCAATTCAAGGCTTCTTCTTCAGATCATACGGCTCTGACGCCATTAGTTGTAGCGCAGTAACCACAGAATACGGAGTACATAAATCGACACAGAGAACAAGAAACAGAACAGTGGCAAAGAGATTATGTGAGCTTTAAAAAGAAGAGAGAGAGAGAGAGAGAGAGCTTATCCCAACAAAAATTAAGAGAAAAGTATAGCAGCAGAGGTTATATACTTGTAGAACTGCATTTCTCAATCTCCTCTCTTTAATTTTGCCTTCTCTTCCTATTATATTTTCATTTGATCTTTGTATTTCTTCTCTAGGATTGACAATCCACAAAATACTAAGATGAAGAATGATATAAAGCAAGCAAGAAGAATATATAATTTCTATTTTGTACCGTCTGTGTTTTTTTTCCATTCTAGTTGACTCGTCAAAACATTGCAAAAATTAGAGAGTTTTACTTGCGGATTCCACGCATACAGACAGCCGCTGTGATACAGCGGAGGTTCTTTTATTCTTATTATTATTTTTCGTCCGCTAATCTCAGCCGATATCCGTATGTGCGGACTAAAAATTCTTCAAAAGATTGAGGTTTGAATGGAAACTAAATTTGGAGACCTACAAACGTGTAGGGCTGTGATTTTAGCTCAAAGATTTTTAATTGATTGGGATCTTGGCTATTGAGTTCAAAGTTTGGATTTTTTTTTTTTTTTTTCGAGCAGATTTTGAGTGACACATTGTTCAATCTGAACTGATTTAAGAGTAGCTCGTTTTTTTATTCTTTATAAAAAATTATATAACAAATCACAGGGTCCAAATAATTTGATTTGGGCCAGCTAGTTTCAAGAGCTGAATTAAGCTGATTTCAAGCTGAAATGAATCCAAACAATTCAACTTGAGGCAAGTTCAATTCAATTTTGAGTTGCATCCAACTTGATTTAATTTTGAGCTAGCTTGGTTCAATAAGTAAATATAATTGTGTCTCAAATTGATTTATGAGTCATAGTAAGGGTTCATTTGGCGTGGTGCTGTAGCACTGCATCATAGTTTTGTCTATTTAAGTAAACTGAGTTTTTTCACATACTTGACTACGTGCGGTGACATCTTTTCAGTTGCAACCTAACTTTCAAAAAAATTTGTAATAACAATTATAATTTTTTAAGCATCAATTTATTATTACTCAACAGTTTCAAAGCGATCCTAAATTAATTTGAGTCGATTTTTATTTGGCTAAAAATGGGACCGATAAAAGGCCCTTTAAATGCCGAGAAGATAGCATCATAGTAATTTATTTTGAAAATTTTAGTTTATAGAGGTAATAAAATAAGAGATCTCATTCTTATCTAATTGCAATTAAAACATTGTTATTTTTAAATAAACTTAAAAAGCCCTTTTTTACTCATTTTTTGAAATTCTCACTCAAATATAAAAATTAGTGATGTAACAAATTGCATCCGTATATGTAATTATCTTAATTAGCTATTATAATTTTGTTATTCTTAATACCAAGTCAGGTAAAATCTTAATTAAAAAGTTTTAACTCGTAACACATTTGGTTGAAAACGAAATGGAGAATTTGAAAGAGGATTAATTATATAAGCCCTCATTAAAAAAAATGCTAATTAAATATAAAAAGAATACTTTTACCGTTACTCGGAATTCGTCAGCAATTCCAATGAAGATAAAATATGAATCTCACCATTATTTTATTAGAAAATACTTATCATATAAAATTATCATATTGGTTAATTTATCATTTTCATAACTTAAATTTGGCTTATATGGTGACGTGATTAAGATTAATGAAGATGATTAAAGGCATAATAACAATAATAAGGATCTGCCCAGGTTTGGTCCCTTGAGGCCTAATCATTCTTTGTCAATCTCTTGTATGCTACAATAGATCCTTCCCGAATCCCAATGGAAATAAGGGAAATATTTATATTTAAATTTTAATAATCATATTAAATGTACTGGTTAATAATTTTTGTATGAAATATTCAAATTTAATATATTTATTAAATAAATCATTAAATCTTTCTTTTTGTAACAGGAGATATCGATGTTTAAGAGGTATAATAAACTATCTACTAAATTTTAATGGCTCGGTGTCAAATTTGTAAATATTTGAATTTTATGGATTTTTTTGTAAGGGTTGGTGAGCTTGGAGTATGGGAGTATGGGAGTATGTTGAAGTTTCGTTTAAATAACTAGGTTGTAGTCATGAAATAATAAAAATATTAATTAGCATGAATGTAAATGTTCCAAGAAAAACCTGTGTTCTAAGATTTTAGGCAACATAGATGTACTGTGAATAAGTTAGTACATTCATGATTTCAAAATTCTGAGTGTTCTTGGGCTAGTTGGACTCGTTTGGTCAAGACTCTCAAGTTGACTATAAGCTTATTAGGGTTGAAATTCATTTGACTTTTCAATTAGCCACCAAAGCTTTCAAAAGTGGTTTAAAGACTCAATCCTAGCTTGATTTGACTTAGATTTGACCAATTTGAGCGTCATTGAGTACGTCTTGTCAAGGGAAAATATTTGCATAGGGGTACAGGAGAGTTATATCCGGGTTATACCGTCATGTAATCTCCGTGTAATTCTCTTGTAATCTCCGTGTAACTTATTTGTACCCATGAAACTACAGAAGCGTGGAACTCATATGTAGGTTACAAGTAGTTTACAAAGAGGTTACATGGGAGTTACAGAGGGGTATAACCCCGATATAACCCTCCTGTACCCCTGAATAACCCCTGGACGTACTCATCGCTGCATACGTCTTATGTACGCAAATTCTTTCCCTTGTCAAGAGGGTCAGTTTTACTGCAAGTTTGTTAATTTTGGAGTTATGGATGATTTTTAATTATTATGAATATTTTTTGCTAAAAATGCTGCGAGATTTACTCTTTATATTCATGCCAAATGACCAAATATAAATGCTTAAATGAACAACTAAACAAATATATTTTAATTTTGTTTTATGTACTAGAAGTTAAATTTTAATTTAATTTAATATTCATGGTTTTTAAATTAAGTTTTAATTGATTTTACTCATAAGCATTAAACTGATCTTATCTATGAACTTTATATAAAAATGTTTACCAAGCTTCTTAAAAAACTTTGTTCGTGAGCATTAAATGATTTTGTTCACGAACATAAACGAATCAAACAATGAGGTGTTTGCGTTCATCTAACGACCAAGCAATTGTTAAAGTGTTCAAACTAGTTCAATAAGTTAATTAAACGAATATGAACGAGCTCTTATCGAGCCGAGTTATAAGTAGCTCGTCAAAAGCTCGATTCGTTTGTAGCCCTCGGTAATCTCAGTTCTTAATGATGTATGTGACACATGGTGTCATACTATATGCAGGAAATGCTGAAGTAATTGACATGTCTATGGAGGGAAAAGGTTGTGGAAATTAGAAGGGGATATGAAATCAGACGAAGATATCTAAGATTCAATTATTGGATTTAGGTCGAGCTAGTAAATAATAAAAATATTTAAAAATAATGTAAATAATATAATGATGCAAATATGTGAATAATAATTTGAGTTATATTGTAAAGTATGTACCATACAGAAGTATTATTTTTAATAATTTTAAAGTTAATCAAATTTAAAATTTAAATTATTAATCTTATTTATAGGGGTGAACATGTTTAAGCCACTAAATACTATCAAGGGAGAGGGTGACAGTTAGGTGGGGGAATGGCAAGTGAATTGCCAACAGAGAGATGGGAGTCACATGTTGCACACCACAAAAAAACAGAGAAGATATTTAGTGATATGATTGATATTAGAAATTAGACATAAGTGATAACCAATAATTTGAATTTTATAAATCTATTGAAAATCAAATATAGCTAGGAGTTTTAACTAGCCGATTTGAGTCGAGTTAGGGGCAGCTTAAAATCAGCTCGAATGGATTAAGTTTAGATCACAATTTGCTTGTGGCTTGTTATCTTCGATTTCAAACCGGCTCAACTTGGCTCAACTTGAAATTGAAGCGAGCTTGTTCCGGTTCGAAATCGAAACAAGCTGGCCCAAATTTGAGTTATTTGAATCCATTCCAACTCCATCTGACTCGAAGTCGAAGTAAGATGGCTCAAATTTGAGTTATTGGATCCATTTCAACATGAAATCGGCTTGTAGCTCAGTATCTTTGATCTTTTTTAACATTAAATATAATTATTATAACTAAAACAAAATTGAGCCGATCTCGAGCCACTTCGAGCAGATTTGTATATGGCTTGAAACCTACTAAGAAAATTTGATCCAGTCTTGGCTCATAGCTTGACTCGTTTATTTTGATCCAAGGGAAAATTTAAATCAATTTTCGAGCGATTAAGGGTCTTAGAGATAAATTCCCAGCACTACATGTAGCCCTTTGATTCAAAATTAATATTTATTGTTGGCTCAAACATTGAACCGGGCAATTTTAAAAATCGAGACTAAATAGTTGGTACATCATTGTTTGAGTATGTTCTCTGCAATACTAGTTTAAAAGGAAAGCATGACCAGACGTAGGCTCAATCCCTAAGGCACCACATCAAGGCCATACTTTTGCATTGTATAATTCGGAAATGACACAGATTTTTAGAATGGTTATGCAAAAATAGAGTATACTAATGAAAATAGAGGTCACCGGCAAACTTTCATTGATAGTCGATTCGACAAAATAATCGAAAATAACACTGATAACCATTTGTCGTGCTTTATTCACCATGTCAAATTAAATAATTGTAACAAGTTACCTTGTTTTGTCAATAAACTAAGTAGCAAGTCGCAAGACCTTTTGGTTATAAAGATTTAAAGTTTTCCTTGCACAATTACTTAAGAAATCTTGAACTCATAATATAAGCATCATTGAAGCAAATCAAATTTTCTATTATTTAATTCTTCACCTCCCAACGAAAACCCTGCAACGTTGATGAGAGCCATCACAGAAGATCAAACCATATCAAAAAATAGATCTTCTCGAATATTATACAACACTGCAATAAATAAGGATAAAATTTACTGAAAACATTTCCCAAAAGTGCATATTATTCCTCTCTGTTTGGCTAAAATGACTTGTTACATTCACATTCTCATTTCATTCACATGCATGCAACAATCAATTGTTCTAAAGATTAATACAAGTTTCATAAAATAATCTACTTTCCATCTACTCATGTTGGTCTTTCATTCTTACCAAGGTAGCTAAATTAAGTAAATCTCACATCATTCCCACAAGAAAGGAATACCACAAATATGTTCAAAAAATCTCACCTAAAGCAAACAAGATGTATTAAAGAAGAAATACATTCAAATAATTTCTCATTCAAATTGAGAGAGATCCCACATTGCTTCTATAAATCTTTGATTTATATTGCAAAGATAGAAATAA